ACTGGAGAGGATCTGCAAGGAGGAATGGCAGAGGATCCCCAAATGCAGGTGTGAAAAACTTGTTGCATCATTCCCAAAAAGACTCATGACTATTAGCTCAAAAGGGTGCTTCTACTAAATACTGAGCAAAGGGTCTGAATACTTATGACCATGTGATAGTTCAGTTTTTCTTTTTTAATAAATCTGCAAAAATGTCAAATTCTGTGTTTTTCTGTCAATATGGGGTGCTGTGTAAATGTAATTCTTCACAGAAGTATAATGTAACCGTTGCCTTCACTGTCAGTACATCTGAATTATTTTGATTGTTTTCTGGGAAAGACTGACACTAACGTTCATAGCAGGGGTCAGTAAGCTCAGTGGTCCTCACAAGTTTCTAAAAACCCAGTGTGTATACTATATAAATTACAATAAATTGTAAAACATCCAGTTATGTGCTGGGCCAATAATGCCACTGTAACCATATCTATATGATGGATAAGAATAACATTTGGAAACAAATTTGATATCTAATTGCATAATAATACAAAGCAGTGATTAAATTCTCTCAGGATGGTTTCTGAGATGGCAGACAATGTATGTGGTGGGAAAATGAATAAAAAAAAACAAACATGAAATTCATAAATCTAACCTTTATCTAATGGGGCATCTCATTGCAGTTAAGATTTTAAAGGAATTGTTCTCAAAACTAAATGACTAAGAGCTCCACCTTTACAAAATCCAATTTAATTGTTCCTCCATAAGCCTCTGATGCCTATAATGTTCTTTTTGATATTGTCAACTATAATGTTCTTTTTGAACCTCCTTCAACCTTATGTGCCTACATTGAAGCACATCTGTGTCCTTAAATTCCAACTGTATTTTGTTGTTGGAAAATAACCGAAGCACATTTATTAAAGCAACATTTCCACAAGCAACATCTGTTACATGTGAAGTATCTGAACACCATTTATGTGTATTTTTCTCATGTGAAGTGCTTTTCCAAATGTCGTTAAACATGAGGCAGAATAAATTCACATGTTGGTGAGGACTTATATTTACGCAGAATAAATTCACATGTTGGTGAGGAATGTGTTCCTTAGATTTATTTATTCATTTTTACAGATTCAATTATACAGAGATGACAGACGCCGATGAAGATGATCCACGATTAACCAAAAAGACAGTTTTCCATTTATTGCCCCTGGTCACGTTACACAGTCATCCAAAAAAGAATCAGAATAGCATTGAAACAGGACACACACACACACACACACACACACATGCATAGCCACAAGAAGCAAGTACAATTAATGTAGGTAAAAAATAAGATGTATGATACAGGACATTGTTATGCTTCATTGTCTGCAACACAGAAGCACACAATAACCTAGAGAAGAAAGAGGGGAAACAATATACAGTGGTACAATAAAAGCAAGGTCATAAATACTGAATGTGATATATTTGTGTTTTTTTCCATATCAACCCTGTTTGTCCAAGATGACCAACCTTCCAGGTACATGCACTAGAGGCGAGCTGGCTCTTCCTTTGCACTTACAGGCTCCCAGAGGATCTCAGCAGGGAAATCCGTGACACATAATGCGCTACTAGTGGCAACGAGGAGTTTCCCTGACCCTGTTTAGAGCCCAGCACTCCAGGATGACACGATGTCCTGGGCGCAACTTTCCTTTTATTATTGAGCCAATAAGTTAATTACTTACACACAACAGGGACAGGTACATCTGTCGTACTGACAAAACAAGAGCCTGTTTGTGAGGATTGCATGCCGCGCGCGCGCACACGCGCACACCACGCCCCCTCCTGTCGGGAACACCCTGGCTGTGGATTTCTGCCTTCAGACGGCGCTGAGGCGCACCGACACACTCGGTGCCTGATCCCCGGACTGGCTCTCCGCTCCGGTCGGTCGCGCTCCCCTACCGGCTTCTCACCGTTGTCCGCAGCCGCCAGGTGTTTCTTTTCCTTTGTTGGGGGGGTTTCGGGGGAGGGGGGGTGGGGCGGCTGTCCATCATCACGACCTCGGGGGATTAGTCACACACCAGCGGGACCAGACACTTCACTTCCCCGCTAAAGTTAGGCACGTTTGTGCAGGTGCAATGCAGCAGAAAGCTCATTTTCATGTTTCTTGTTGCCCGCGTTGGTTTCGACGCTTGATGTAACCTGCGGTCAACTCAGGTGAATTTAATGATCTGAAGAAAATATGTTGCATTAATTAATTTACTTCAGCAACACAATGAAGCCCGTAAAATAATTATAATAATAATATTAATGAGGAGGAAGAGGGCAGTAGTCAGATGACAGCAGTGAAATCATCACCTGGGTTTGATGTGATATTTGCCTTCAGTGCATTTTAATGACAAGGAGTGACTAAAGAAACCAATACGTCAGTGCCTCAATGCTCATAAGCACTTTGTCCAGTGCATTCATCTGGACTCACCAGGATATCCCAGGGCTTTTCAGGGATGACTAGTGCAGCTGAAAAGGTGAAGGACACGCAGTAATAGCCTCAGGATGCTGCCAGATCTCTGCAGGCTCGTTATCTGGCTCTGTTAGGTGTACCAGGCCTGGGTAGGTGGAAGGCACACTGTTTGCTTTGAGCTGGTTTCTGCCTCAGATCAGCCACTGTTTTGCTTCTTTGTTGCTCACTCACAGCACTTATGGGGGAACATGTTGATGTGAGGTGTGAGATCCAGGTGTGGTTTAAGATAAAGGAAATAGGAAATGTATTTGGAAGATTTGGAACCAGAGGTCCTGATAGCAGGTTTGACTCTGGGACCCAGGAAGACATGATGCATCTGCATAAATTGCATCAGAGTTATAGAAGTCTAGCAGTATTTTTGTCATAATGTCATAAAAGAGAAAAATGTCCCTAATGCCTAAAATTACTTATTTAAATTGCTTGCTTTGTCCAACCCCCAATTTAAAAATGAAACATATTTAGCTCATTTCAGTTGACTAATCACTTTCAGCTCTAAATTAATTAATCATGAAGTCTGGAAATGAGGGGAAAATACACTTAAAATTACTTGTTAGAATTGATCACTGGACAAAATGTGAAAGATATATTAATTATGCATATATAAAAGAAAGAAAAGCATCAAATCCCAACCAAGCAAACATTTTTTTTTCTGATGAAGAACTTAAAGGAGCAGTTCAGCCAAATTAAGTGAGAAGATTAATATCTGTTGGCCACTCTGTCTTCCCATATAACTTGCAATAAGAAAACAATTAAGTCTGTTCCTCTAAATGTTTGCTTGATTATCAAAATGATTGTCTGTGATACTGTTAATCAGATCCTCCTTTCAGCACTGAAGTACATGTATTATTTAATGCAGTTCTGATGTCTTGAAGCTCAAACTGAGTTCAAAGAAGGATTTACCCTGCAGGTACAAGCATGCAGACTAATTCAACATCATGGCTTAGTCCAAAATTATTTGGCCAGATAGATATTGGACAGATACTTTATGTATTAGAAATGTTTAGTGGAGATAGGATGTCTAGTTAGACTGTTAAATGCTTAGACATGCTTATGAGTTTCTACAGGGTACATCTGGTCAAGGATAACTAGAGAGAAGAGTTGATGACTGTCAGCAGACAGGGTGTTTGATATTATTATTATTATGATGTGTATAACTGTAGCCTTAGCCATAATGTTCCTATGTTTAAGCCACGACATGTCACTAGAGGTCGTGTGAGAATGTTTTTAGCTACACACCACTTAATCAACAGACATACACATTCACACGTTGATTTGCTTTATGTTTTGACTACTGCTATGACCAGCTGCAAAGCTGGCACCAGAGACGTCCCGGTTGACGTTTCTGTGTAGTATGGGGCTAGCCCAACCGAGGGGATATAATGTATAGGCCTGGTGGGTTCAGGGTCTTTCATCTTACATCTGCCTGCGTGCAGGTTGGAGGTGCAAGATACTTGAGCGTGTAATGTTAATTTTACCTGTGATCCTTTGAATAAATCAGCACAGTTTTGTAGTTACTTGGACTGCCTCGTCTCTCAGAGTCAGTGTGGTAAAAAGTACCGGGTACAACAGTATTACACGTGCAAAAGTCCAATTCAGCTGTCCAAAGAATGAGACTTTGGCTGCGAGCCAAGGTGGCTACTTGGACTGACAGTGTTTAGTCAACACGCAGGCTGAAAAACATTAGGTTTGTGCGTTTAAGACTAGAAACGGTTGCAAATTAAAACAAAGCTGTTGTATTAGTGATGTCAATGGTTAGTGAACTGTGAAGCCCCAGCAGTTTCCTGAAGGTTAAATGCAGCATGAGCAAACAAGAGAAGCAAAACATTTTTCACTGCTTTTGTTCCATTAACAACAAGCCTGTGCTATGAAAGATATCCCAACATAATTTGCCACAGTGACGCTTCCCTAGATTGGTTCATTTGGCTTCTATAGACATGTTGCATTATCTGTTGAAACTGTTTTATCATTGTCGCAGGAAGAATGTCTCTCCAGTGATAAATGAGCCGTTCTCCGGCTAACTTATACAAGGCTAGAGGGGGAATAAGTGGGTGAATAAATGAGAAGAGAAGCCAGAGAAGGTAGGGATTCCCTGTTTTCTGTACACGCAGGCAGCAGAGCTCATCCAGCGGAGCAGAGAGAAGCCCCGGGGAGTGCAGTCACACAGTATTAGAGGTCTGCGTCTCCAAGCTCTGCCAAGACAGAATAGAAGTGTGTGTATGTGGTGTGTAGACAAACATTCACACATTCATGCGTCATTATGGCAGGCATTTCTGTGTCAGCCTGTAGCTCACTGTGCCAGACTGATGGCCAACAAAACCAAAATACTGGAACTAATAGTTTTCAAAGCTTAAAACTGCAGTATGTTTTCTCCAAATATTTTAGTTGTAGAAACATGTTGTAAAACGTATCTCAATGTGGAGAGATGCTGTTGAAGCCTCCTGTGACCCAGACTCACTGAACAGCACTGGCAGCTGTGCAGAGATATTAGCTTCTAAGAAGTTGTGAGCAGGACTGACCTCTCTAACCAGTTAGAGCATTTCAGTTATTTCTACTTGATCGCTAAGTTTTGTTGCATTATCATTTGTTGTGATTTCATAATCACATATATCTGGCAGAGCAGAGCGTAGCAGATTATAGTAGAGCACAGTGGAGCAGGGAGAGGGAGGAGCAGAGCAGATTGATCTGGAGTATCATGCTAGTGCTACCTTAAGTTCCATACTGTAATTTAAGACCAGAGGTGTTGTACCTATTTTATAATACAAAATGTGTCGTACTTCAGTTAATTTCAATAAAAACTGTGTGTAAAATCTGCAGTAGCTACAAGCCAGACTGCAGTAACAGCACAGCTGGAACAACCTGGCTGTTTTCGCCTCAGACCAGCTGGTGTTATGTTTGTGTTTGATGCTGCCAGTCAAAGCACTTAGTGGTGAAGTACTGACGTAAGGTGTGGCATCCAATTGTTGGAGATAAAGGAGTTGAAGCTTCTTTGAGAAGATAATGAAATACTGTCAGCAGAAAGATTTAAAGCCTCTGATCAGGAATTACAAGACCTGATAGGAGGGACTGAGGTCTGCACAATGACATGCATGATGCATATTGGATGTATAAATTACATGAGGACTTGAGTATTAATCATTATTTTCACAACCAGTTAAGTGTTCATTTTGTTTTTGATAGATCAGTTAATATTCGTGTCAAAGATTTGATAAGTTACATGTTTTCCTTACTTTATATGAACCACAGATAAAAGTAGATAACAAAATACGTTTTATTTGCAGTGAGATAAAAGACGTAAAAGCTGCAAATCTGGAATTTTTGTTTAATAAATGATTAGATTATAAAATTATTAATCTGCCGGCTGAATAATTAATTGCTTGGCTTTTTGCTTTAGCATGAAATAACATAATATTTGGTCATATTCAAGCTGAATCACAGTAACTGCTTTGTCACAGTATTAAATGGTAGATTCATTTATGAAATTTGGGCAACCATAGAGAAACAGAGATGCATGTAATCCCCAAACAGACATTTAAAAGAAAACGTTTTGTTGGCGTATTGTGTTTCAACCTGCACTTTTCAAGTATCGTGTAGGTTCTGTGGCAGAATAATTAGCCCGTAGAGACCCCATTGCAACGTTTCTGTTGTGCAATTTTCCAGTCAGCCTGAAAACTTTAAACCCCTTTTCTTAATTTCACTGCTTCTGTAATTAGTGTTTTCTGCCTTTGTAGAGCAGCGCTTTTTGTCTCTCACATAAAATCCACTGGCATTGTTCGCTCCCTCCTCACAATGAGTTGTAACAGGGCCAGTGTTGTGGAAGCGCCTGTAAAATGTGAGCCACATTGACTATTAGCTTATTAAACCTATATAATGTTTGTGGGATTGTGCATGATTATATCCAGATTAACCCTGAGCTGCTGTAACAAAGCTCATCTGTGCTGCTGCAGTGGATATTGTCTCTGTAGTGCAGTGTTGTGCGGGGCTTCCCTCCCTCCCACTCACTGGTGCCTCTTATCCACAACTCTCCGGTGCATGCTACAGTACCTGTGCGTTTGGTATGCAGCCTACAGCCCCTAGAGTTACATATTGTTCCTGTTCAATCACGATGAAGCAAAAAGTGGCAGCCTGTCCATGCACCGACCCTGCTGATGTGGGAGGAAAAAAGATCTCAAAAGGAGAAATGTAATTTGGAGGCAGAGCTGAGAGGAATGACTCAGGTGAGTAATAGATTGCCGGTCAGGGATGTGATGCCCCCTGTGTTGTTCTCTATACCCCTCTAATGTGTATGGACACGTGCCTCTGTGGGCGCTCTGAGGGGGATGCAGGGGTGCAGTGGGATGATGGGATACTTGCCTAGAAGTGGCTCAAAATACGCCCCCTTTATCTAAAATGGCATCATCATTTTATTATTTTCTGGTACCAGCATTTTGACAAGGGTGTGCTTTGAGGAAAAGTCAACACAGCACAACGTACA